TCAGAACGAGAATGGGTCGGAGGGCTGCGGCAGACCATCATCGCTGGAGCTCTCGGCGATGCTGGTGTCGTCTGCACGCTTGGCGGCCTTCTTGGGAGTGATGCACTTCCTGTCGTCGACATCCTCGGACGAGCTCTGCTTCGCAGCCCTCGCCTTGGGCTTCGAAGGCGCCTTGGGCTTCCGAGGCGCCTTGATGGACTTCTGGGGCTTCTCCTGGAGCGAGGCGTTCTTGTCCTCCCTGGGCACATGCTCTATGCCCTTGCTCTCCTCGCCGCCGCCGCCCTTGTCACCGGGCACCTGGCGCTCGGGCGTCTTCTCGCTCAAGCGCGCGCGCTTGCTGGGGCTGTCAGCTGGCGCTTCCTGGCAGGCTGGCTCGCTGGAGCCATCAGCCTTCTTGTCCTCGCTGGGCTGCATAGCGTCGCTGGGCAGCGTGGCGGCGGCGGGCCTCTTGCACACGGGCCGACCTCCCGTCTCCGAAGTCTCCGAAGGTTTCACATCAGGCGGATGGGCGCACATCCACTCGCACTTCCGCTGCTTCACGGCCTGAGCGTCGATGACCCCGCTGCAGTACAGGTTCACTAACTCTGCCATGTATGCTTCGGCCTCCACCTTCAACTGGTCCGAATAGTTCGTGATCACCATTTGCCCGCAAGCACCAGAGCCTTTTGTGGTATATCTGCAGCAGCGTCTGCCTGCGCTCGTACATCAGCTTGAGCTGCACGGGCTGCTGGTCCTTCTTGTGCGGCGCCTGGTACACGACGCCCCTCCTGACGCTCTTCAGCATGTTGAGCTTGAGCTCCTCCACCGTCAATGTTGGGATCTCCCACTTCACCGTTCCAAAGTACGCCACCGCGAGCTCGTTCGGCTGCGCGTCGGCATGTGGAAGCTCTGGGCCACGCGTGGCCATCTCCTTGATCTTCGTGTCCGCGATGAGCTCGCCGTGCTCATCTCTCTGGACCTTGTATCGGTAGGCGACCTCATGGCGGGGAAAAACCAGGAGGCCACATGGAAGAGGCAGGAGGAAGATCCGACATCGAGGGGGGAGGAGAGGATATGGAGGAGGACGAAGCAGCTGAGGAGCTGAAGGGGGGGAAAGTTAGGACGACGAGACGCGACCATATCCGATCAAGACGAGGACGGGTTGGCCAATCAAGGACACGTGTCTACCCTCCCCTCTAGCCCCGTTCTCCTTTATTCATTCTCCTGCTCATCTTTCCTCCCTCCACCCATCGTGCCTCCTTGCCAGCCGAGGCCCCGGGTCCTCGAGATGGGCCTCGAGAACAAGGCCGCCGCCGTGGGCGACCAGGCCCAGCAAAGCCCTGTGTATGGGAACGGTGTCCCGTCGGGACCCTCTGGGGCCCCCTTCCTATCTCTGACTGGGGCCTCTCGGATTTCGGGCGGGGGACTCGAGGCCATCACGGGGCCGATCACTCGCTCCCGTTTCCTTGGCTTCGCGTTCCGAAGTTTGTTCTGCGGAGCTCGTGAGGGAATTCTGCGGGGCCCCGTTGGGGCCTCCGAGGGCGCGAGTTCCGTGAATATTCCGACTCAGGAGGGCCAGCCTCTAGACAAGGCCCGACGTGGCCCCAGGAACGCTTTCAGAGATCACCGATGGGGGGTCAATGGGTGAGGCCCGCGGGACCTTCATCTCTCGATCGTACATGTAGTGGTAACCGTTCTCGTCGTCGGCCGCGGGCCTCTTCATGAAGACCGAGGGCTTGCGCAGAACCTTGAGGTCCTTCTTCTCCTCGTTCTCCTCCTCGCTCTCCTCCCCCTCGCCCTCCTCGTCCAGTTCATTGTCGTCGGCATCTTCGCCAGCGTCGTCAGCTCCCGATCCGTCATCCCCCTCGGGCTCGTTCAAGAAAGGCATGACCCATCTCGGAGCCCTTTTGCCCGCTCGTTTCTTGGCTTTGCTGACGCCTTTAGCAACATCGTGGATCATTGCACGCATCCTCAAAGACTGTTTTTTGGCCCACAGTTTCAACTCACCACCTGTCAAGTGCCAACCCTTGTTCTCCTCCTTCCCAGCCAGCTCCGTAAATGCCTTCGTCGACGCCGATTGATTGATCGATCCGTTGGGGAAGGCCTCGAGAAGGTCTTTCAAGAAGGGGGTCCACTCCTTAATCGTATCGTCGTCCTTCGCACCCTCATTGAGTGTCTCTCTGTATTTGAACTTCGCCGCCGAAGACACCTGGCACGATTTTGCAATCACCTCTGTTCCTCGCCTCCACCCCAACAGTAAGCGATTCCTCCTACTCCTCCTGCTCGTCACCTTCCTCACCTTCTCTTTTTCATTATGTAATCGGGTCCTCCGTCCTCGTCCTCATCCCCCCCGTGCCGAACTCTCTATCTCCTCCCTCCTCCATCGCCTCCCTATTTCTCCTCCGCCTCCATCCTGGGTTGGTATATTCGGTAACTCCGCTGACGTGCCGACTGATGATCTGGAACAGCCCGTCCGCGTCGTCACCCCGAACACGCGAGACTGCCGCCGCTGGGACCTCCGCCATATGGCGCGGCGATCCGCCAGCGGGATGGCACAAGCCTTGCTTGCGCCAGGGCCCTTGGTCCAAAACGGCCCTCCCATCAGGAGGGGGGGGGGGGGGTGAGGGGAGTCCAACCAACCAACCAACCAACCAACCAACCAACCAACCAGCCAACCAACCAACCAACCAAGCCAGCAGCCATGCCAATCACGAGTCAATCAGCCAACCAACCAGTCACGCAGACGACTGCCCTGCCAGCCTGCGAGCTGGGGCGGCCATCGAGCCCGACAGACGAAATTATAGCATAAACATGGCAACAACATGATCCACCCTCATACAGACAGCAACATAATTAAGCAAACAGGCTTTCTCTCAACCAACCAACCAACCAACAGCCCATCACTCACATCGATTCATATATATATATATATATATATATTCTTTTTTTTTTTTATTTGTTTGTGACATAATTCCTCGTCCTTCTTTTTTCCCCTGGCGGCGTTCATGCGCGAACGCATCCATGCGAAACGCGCTACCATAGATCATTTCCAATGGAAATGATCTATGGCATGAATATAAGGGTTAGACCCTTAAAATAAGGGTCCACGCGCGTGGTCCTTAAAATAAGGCCCAACGCACCACAGGGTTCTTGGCGGCCAGCCTGAGGAGGTGCAGACGATGAAGGATTGTGCTTGCGAGCGATTGGACGACGTGGGGCTGTCCACTCACGAGCACGTCGAGGCCCAGACTCAGTCGGAAGTGCTGGGCGTGGCGATCGATGGCGGCAAGGGTATTGTGGCCACGTCGCTCAAGAGGATGTGGAAAGTCGACAGCCTGCTGACTTGGCTGCTGGACCGTGGAGTTGCCTCGGGGCACCAGCTGGAGTCAACCGTTGGCCACCTGACCTTCATTTTCATGCTCCGTCGCCCCCTGTTGTCGGTTTTGTCTGCGACCTACCAGTTCATTCGCAGCGCTGGTGGTGAGCAGGTCGACCTCTGGCCCTCTGTGCGGGCCGAGCTTAGTGCAGCGCGAGCCCTGTTACCCTTTGCCTTTGCTCAGTGGAGATTGCCCTGGCATGGCGAGGTGGTGGCGACGGACGCCTGCCCTACAGGATGGGGAGTTGTCGAGAGCTCTTGGAGTGACAAAAATGTGAAACAGGTTGGGAGGGTCGACGAGCGTATGCGATTTCGGGTCCGTCAAGATATGGCTCATCGTGCACACGCTCTTGCAGGTTCTCGAGATGCCCTGGAGGACAAGTTCACCGTGTACGTCCCTAAGGGGACGAATGACCCGAACGAGTACTGGGAGGAGGACCCCAAGTTCCCCGACATCAGGCCCGACTGGATCCACGAGGCCCCCTGGAGGTTTGTATACGCTGGAAGGTTCTGCCGTAGGGAAGCCATTCACATTCTGGAGGCGAAGGGGATGATCTGGGCCCTTCGCCGGCTCGCAAAGCGCCCTGGTATCGGTGGTCGTCATGTCGTCTTCTTGGGGGATAACATGGGCCAGATCTTGGCGTTCTGCAAGGGGAGGGCCTCGGATTTCCAGATGAACATCTGCTGTCGAAGGTGGTGCGCCCTTTCCCTGGCCCTCAACATCCGTTGCCATGTTCGTTGGGTACCGTCTGAGCTCAATCCCGCCGACGGGCCTTCGCGGCGGCACGAGCCCGGGCACAAGCGGCCGAAGCCCGATGCGGTCGCAGGGGCCGACCCGGCCGCCGCCGGTTCGGCGAGAGGATCGGCGCCTGTTGAGCAACGGACGCAGTGCTGCACAGAAGGCGTCGGCTATTCCGTCGGCTCGGCCGCGGAGGGAGATCCCGCGTCTGCCGAGGAGCGTGCCGATCTCGCAGCCGGCGAAGCTGAGGAGGCTGAGTACGGCGCTGGTGAGGCAGGACCGCTTCTCGGTGGAGGCCGACGCCCTCGGCCGCTCGTTCCTGGAGACGAAGGCCGTGGGGGAGAAGGTCGACCAGCAGTACGTGGAGGTGATGGAGGGTTTCGTGCAGGACTGCGCCAGGCTCGGTCTCTCGCTCGACTCCCCGGAGGAGGTCGACTTCGCCCTGATCGAGGTGTTCGACGAGAAGTTCTTCAACGGCATGGACGGGAGCGTCGGGCACTACCTGCTGGCGGCCATCAAGGGCCTCCGCCCGGAGTTTGGGCGAGCTGGGACCCTTCGGCTTCCCCGCGCCCACCGTGCCCTCCAGGGCTGGGACCGCCTGGCGCCTGGGCAGTCGCGGCTCCCCGAGGCGCGACCGGTGTGGGCGGCCCTGATGGTGGAGCTGGTGCGGGCGGGCTTCCGCACGATGGCCATCGAGACGCTGGCCGCGCTTGTGACCTACGCGCGGCCTGGGGAGATTCACGAGCTGAAGGCGAAGTGGCTCATCCCCCCGTCGTCGAACGTGGGTCCCCACTGGACGTTCGTCATCCGGCCGTCCGAGGAGCTGAGACCGACCAAGGTGGGGATCTACGACGACACCGTCATCTGGGACAAAGAGGAGGCGTGGACCACGCAGCTGCTGCGCGAGCTGGTGCGCGGCAAGAGCGGCGACGAGCCCGTCTTCAACTACAGCTACGCCGCGTACCTGAAGCAGTTCAAGGCGGCTGCGAAGCGGCTGGGGCTCCCAGAGCTGGTCCCTTACCAGCTCCGCCACAGCGGCGCGTCGTGGGATCGGCTGCAGCTGCGACGCACGCTGGGCGAGATCATGAAGCGTGGCCGCTGGGGCAGCCACAAAAGCGTCGCCCGCTACGAGAAGGGCGGCCGTGTGCAGGCGCAGTGGCAGCGGCTGCCCAAAGGCTTCCAGCAGTTCGCCCTGTGGTGCGAGGCCAACCTGCAGTGCGTGATGCTGAACGGCCTCGCCCCGCCCGCCGCACCGTCGCTGCCGCGCAGTGGGCTTTTGAGGACGTCTACTCCGGCTGCGGAGGTGTCGCGGCGGAAGTGACTAAACTTGGAGGCCGTGCTACAGTGACCGATGTCGTGCATGGCCCAGATCACGATCTAACAAAGAATCAAAATCAACAAAGACTTTTGAATCGAGTCCGGACTGGCAGAGTAAAAGGTGTGATGATCGCAACTCCCTGTCACACACTGAGCCGGGCACGTCGTGGGCGCCCACCGCCGCTCCGATCCAACGAGTTTCCCTGGGGCCTGGCAGAGCTCAGTGCCGTGGACATGGAGAAGGTGCGTATCGGTAACTTGCTGACCAGGTTCACGATAAAGCTGGTACGCCTCTGCCTGAGAATGAAGGTCCCGTGCATCGTCGAGAACCCTCTCACCTCAATGTTCTGGATCCTTCCTGAGGTTCTAAGGTTTCTCGCCTGTCCGCAAGTCAAATGGGAACAAGTAGATTTTTGCCAATTCGGAACCCGATGGAGAAAAGCAACTAGACTCATGCTGTGTAATATACCTGACGACGTGTGTAGGACTCTGGACTCTTTTAAGTGTAAAGGGCGGGGGGTGTGCTCTCGGTCTGGTCGCCCCCACCTCGAGCTCTCTGGCAAAGCCCCGAATGGGAAATTCTGGACCTTAATTGCACAGCCCTACCCCCCCCGCCTTTGTAAAAAGCTCGCCGAGGTTTTTCACTCATGTCATCTCGCTCGGTCTGGTCAGGGACTGCTTTCAAACTTGTCGTGATCTAAGGATCCCAGGGCATTCATGGGCCCGGGGCACAAAGTGGTCTTGGGTCTCTGGAGAAGCTTTCAGAGGCTCTGCCGTTGTAAAGCGTTCGTGAGATGACGTTGTCTCGTCTGGCTGCACACTGCATGATATAGAAGCGTCTGCGTGAGAACGATCGCCCTCATGGCACTGTCTTTGACTGGAATGAGGGCGGGTGGAAACTGCGAGAGTGGGAAGCGACCGCGGCCCATTTTTGCTCAAAGTTTTCCCTCCCGATTTTATGTGACTCTCTTTGCCCAACCCTGCTGTCCCTGACCTTGCCTGGGGTCTCTGGAGAAGCTTTCAGAGGCTCTGCCGTTGTAAAGCGTTCGTGAGATGACGTTGTCTCGTCTGGCTGCACACTGCATGATATAGAAGCGTCTGCGTGAGAACGATCGCCCTCATAATTATGAGTGCTCAGGGACGTACCCAACCCTTCGATTTACATACATGTTGCGACTCTCGTGGGGACAGCGTAGTTCCAAAATAACATGTGGAAATAGTACGCGGACGTATGTGTAGTCATTTTGAACACGTCGCCACGGCGGGCGAGGGTTCGGCTGGTCAGCGTATTCCCCCCACTCCGCCGTGCCTCCCAAGAGTCCACGAAGGTGGCGACAGTTGCGCACTTCGCAGCCCTCCCGGGAGCCGCGAGGAGACCTCGGCTGGGTCTGCGTACTCCCCCCACTCAGCCGTGCCTTCCAGGAGACCACCGACTGGCGACAGATGCGCACTTCGAAGCCTCCCAAGGAGCCGCGAGGTGTCGGTTGGGCCTGCGTCTTCCCCAACACACGAAAGTTTCCCAGGGGGC